AAGATGCTAATGGAGTCCTTATGCAAATATCTCCTGGGGCAAATATTTACTAAAGCCGAGGAAGGATGAAGCGCCAGTTCAATGATAGCTTGTGTGTTTCTTTATCCAGTCTCCACCAATATTATTTATTTATTTCTTCACATATCCTCCTTACGTATGTATCGTGGTATCCCAGAGGTGTTTTTGGGTAGCGTGTGAACCCTCATCAGGATAAGAGATGATCGCTGGCGTGGCAGAAAAATGTTTTGCTGTTCAGTGAGGGGCCAAGACATCTGCTTGGCATGCAGAAGGTCCCAGGTTCGATCCCTGGCATCTCCAGTTAAAAAGGATCAGGTAGCAGGTCGTGGGTAAGATCTCCACCTCAAACCCTGGAGAGGGGCTGCTACTCAGGGAAGACAGTATTGTCCCGGTGGCCGGACTCCATATATGGTGGCTTCAGATCATGTTATACCTCAGGTTCCCAACCTCAGTAGCCTGTTTTACTCATGCAGTCTGGCTGCTGCATCAATGAGTTTGCTCTGGAGCCATCCCTTCCTGAGCGAATACCAAAACGTGTGAGCCGGAGGCTACAAAAACTGTGCGCTAGCTCGCGCTAACTCAGCTTAGAGGGAACACTGGCTGGGATCTAACACTTTGTAGGTCTGCCAGTTCTGCGTTGGGAAATACCTGGAGATTGGGGGGGGTGGACCCTGGGGTGGGCGGAGTTTGGGGAGGGACCTCAGCAGGGGAGAAGGCCAGAGACTTGACCCTCCAAAGCAGCCATTTTCTCCAGGGGAGCTGATCGGTGTAGTCTGAAGATCAATTTGAACAGCAGGAGATCTCCAGCCCCCACCTGGAGGCTGGCAACCTTAACCACCAGCCCCGTAGCTAGGGATTTGGGGGGGAGGGGGCCACGGTGGGCGCAGTTAATTAAATCAAAGTTAATTACATTAATTCAATTTGGGGCCAGCCCAGCAAAGGAAGGGGCCCGGAAGAAACACTAGGGGGCTGGGCCCCGCGGGCCCCGCATTATCTACGGACCTGCTTCTAGTTTATGTCTGTCCTTTCTTTAACCCCAGCTCAAGAGTGCTATGACTACTTCGTTCCTCCCCCGGTTCGCCCTACTTCCCACTTCACAGGCAAAAAACCATTTTTGCGGTTCCATTACAGCTTACGGATACATAGAGGATGTGGTGTGTGCGTCTGAATGAGGGATGCCATCGCTCAGAATCATGAACAAATGTCCAGGTCCATCGGGGATAAGCCCTTGAACCAGTGATGAGTATCCGAGGCACCGGGGGGGGGGGCAGGGAGAAGCACATCCGAGCAGGTGAAAAGTGCCTTCCCCTGAACTCGTGGCGCTGAAGGAACACATCCTTTTTTTTTTTTTTGTCAAACATTTTTATTATCAGGATATAATATCATTTCCAACTTAAAAACATTTCCCCCTTTTATTCATTTTATACCCTTTTCCCTCCTATCCTCCCCCCCCCCCCACTTCAGGCTTCCCCCAGGGCTCTAACCTCCCATCCAGATTTTCCATTTTCTCCTCACTTATCCATTGTTTTATCATTACACCTATCAGGTAACATTATCTTAAACTAATATTTCTATACTTTCAACTACTTCACAGTTCTTATAACCTTAATAGTTATCAAAGCAAAATAAAAAAAATTTCACATCCCAGTATTTCTCCAAATACTCTTTAAAGTCTTTCCAGTCAGCAAAGAATTCTTCCGCCTCCTGATTTTTAAGTTTCCTTGTCAATTTGTCCATTTCAACCATAAAAAGTAATTTTTTTATCCATTCCCAAATCTCCGGTATTTTTTCTTGTTTCCAACATTGAGCATAAGTCATTCTAGCAGTTGTAATCAAGTACCACATCAGAGTCCTCTTTGTTATATTCACTTCTTCCATTTTAAGTCCCAAGAGTAATACTTCTGGTAAGGAACACATCCTGAACAAAAGGGAGCCAGTTTGGTGTAGTGGTTAAGTGCGCGGACTCTAATCTGGGAGAACCCGGTTTGATTCCCCACTCTTCCACTTGCACCTGCTGATGTGACCTTGGGTCAGTCACAAGCTCTGGCACAGCTGTCCTTGAAAAAGAGCAGTTTGTGTCAGAGCTCTCTCAGCCCCACCCACCTCACGGAGTTGGTAAGCCGCTCTGAGACTCCTTTGGGTAGTGAAGGACGGGGTATAAATCCAATCTCTTCTTCTTCTTCTTCTTCTTCTTCTTCTTTTAGGTCAAAGAGCACTGACCACTTCTATCTCAGAAATCCCTCTGCATATCAGGGCATACAGAGGTGAAATGCAGGACTGTCTATACGACCCCTGTTTCTCCTCAGATACTTGTAATGCTTACTGGGCCTCACACTAGTTAACTCAAGATGCACAAATCCTCCACTGATAGGGGAACCAGCAGGGGAAAGCTTGAGTCAGTGGAAATATTATAATACTGGGAGTGAGTGCGAAGAACACTATAGCGATGAAATGGAAGGATAAAGTTCCTCCATCTGTAAATGTGTGGCTTTATAAAGTTTGGAGATGTTTTTTGTATGATACCATTTCTATTTATAACACCACAGACCAAAATGAATGTGAAATACTTAGTCCTGTTGGGAAATGGTATCCCATTATTGAAAAACTCACTTTTGACGATTTTGATTGGAAAACTATTTATAACGCAAAGTATAAATTGTTATTATTGGGTTAATGTAACTACGACCTTTATGGCCTTGTTCTGTGAAACCTTTATTTACAGGTACATTTGAAAGTTTAGGTAGGATATGTGGATGACTGTAACTGTCACTGTTTGTTGTTACTCTTTGTGATTGAAAACAAATAAATTGTTCTGGTTAAAAATAATAATAATAATACTGGGAATGAGAAGTGCTGTCAAATCATAGTTGACGTAGGGCAGCCATGAACACCTGAAGCTGCCTTCTACCCAATCAGACCCTGGGTCCATCAAAGTCAGCACTGTCTACTCAGACTGGCAGCGGCTCTCTGTGATCTCAGGCAGAGGTCTTTCCCATCACCTACTGCCTGGTCCTTTTAACTAGAGATGCTGTGGATTGAACCTGGGACCTTCTGCTGACCAAGCAGAGGCTCTGCCAGTGAGCGACAGCCCTGTAGGGTTTTCAAAGTAAAACACTAAATCACCGTGTATAATTTTACCATTTTTATACCTTTTTTTTTAATATGTGCTAAGTATAAATTTTTAGCAGTACTTTCTGAGTAATTAACAAGAATACGGCTTAAGCATTAACCATGAAGCTCAACAGTACATTTAGAATGATGTAACTCCTATGGTAATATTTACAGCCAGTAATGAAGTCTTATCTTAGACTCAAGGACCTAATGCAATAGTAAAGGTACAGGTTGAGGTTTCCCTTGCTCGAAAGCCAGTCGAATCCGACTCTAGGGTTGCGGTGCTCATCTCCGTTTCAAAGCCGAAGAGCCAGCGCTGTCCGAAGACATTTTCCGTGGTCATGTGGCCGGCATGACTAGATTACGAGGCGCACAGAACGCTGTTACCTCCCCACCGAAGCGGTGCCTATTTATCTACTTGCAATTTCTTGCTTTCGAACTGCTAGGTTGGTAGGAGCTGGGGCCAGAGACGGGAGCTCACTCCATCATGCGGAACTCGGGTCTCGAACTGCTGAACTGCCAACCTTCCAGTCAGCAGTTCAGAGTCTTAACCCCTTGAGCCACCACAGCCCTAATGTAATACACTTGTTACAAAGAAAAAAACACAGAGAAACAACTTAAGTTCTTGTTAGTTACTAAAAAAGAATACTCTAAAAAATTATACTTCGCACATATAAAAATGATATAAAAATTGTAAAATTATACATGGTGATTTAGTGTTTTACTTAGCTTACATACACCGTTGTCCGGTTTGTTGTAATTAACCCTATAGGGTTTTCAAGGCAAGGGACTAACAGAGGTAGGTTGTCATTCCCTGCTGCTGTAGCAACCCTTGAATTCTTTGGTGGTCTCCCATCCACGTTCAACTAACCAGGGCTGACTCGACTTAGCTTTTGAGATATGACAAGATCAGGCCTGGCTGGGCTGTCCAGGTCAGGGCAAAATGTAACACTGCCCTTTGCAGAACAACGGCTCGATGCCCTCAGTGAAATGGCAATTTTGGGGAGTCATAACTTCGTGGGGTATGCTTTGGGACATCGAGAACCAATACGAATTTGTTTGGGATGAGCACAAATCTGGTTTATTCCTGGGCGCTCGTGCTCCCTCCTTCCCTCCCATGTGGAGCTGTGCTTGCAGCCATCTTGGTTTGATGTCATTTCAGTTTGTTGTGAAATCTGAGCCAGAGTATTTCATCAAACGAGGTTTGCTTCTTTCCCAGTGACGGGGATTCCCAACCAGGATTAAACCATGATTTTGAATCCATGTTCCTGGGAAAGAAACAAACTTCGGTTTGTTAACTGGATACCCACGCTTGGACATCAGAACAAACTGGCATTCGATCCAATAGGGAAAGCTCTAATCTTGACTTCTCACGAGGAGAGGAGGGAGGATTGTGAGCCGGAGGATCCGGCTCATCGGGAACAAACTCTGGTTTGTTTGCGATGTCTGAATACTGCCTTAACCTTTCTGCTGACGTTAACAGTTAAGTTTGGCAGGCGCAACCGGGATTCCGAAAGGGAAGGGGTGGGAGGAAAGAGCAAGCGATCCTGCATCCTGCTCTATTACGTAACCATGGTTAAGGAGTTGGCAATCGTCCATCTGCCCTGGCCCCAGTAGGAACGTGGCCCAGAATGAATTCTGCTATAACTGTTGTTGACAGCTCATTAGTCTTTCCCTGTGTAACAGAACAATTCCATAGGAAGTCGGCGATTGTTGCTGTTTAAATGCACTGAGGCAACAACTGAATGTTTAACTTCCTTTACCTCATTGTCCCAAAGAAAAATATTGATGTTGTTCAGGCAGGGCTGCGTGTTGTTTATCAAGTTGGTGTCATGCGAACTCTGAACAAACACATGTCGTACTCTTTGCAGGAAGAAAACGAAATCCCTGCCAGCGTGTTTGTGAAGGATCCCGTTCCCAGTATTACCGAGGGAAAGGAAGAGCCTGTTGATGAGAACAAAACTTTGGAAGAGACCATGCATACCGTGGAGCTGTCCTCTGAGGACGAGGTGCACCACGACGAAGACGGCGCGGAGGACAGCCTGGATGAGAAAATGGAGGAGTCGAGGGCGGAGAAAATAAAGAGGTCAAGTCTCAAGAAGGTGGACAGCCTGAAGAAAGCATTTTCCCGCCAAAACATCGAGAAGAAGATGAATAAGATCGGCACCAAGATTGTCTCTGTCGAACGGAGGGAGAAAATTAAGAAGTCCTTCACCCCTAACCATCAGAAGTCCACCTCCTCGAAAAGTTCATCTTTCAAGGTCTCTCCCCTGACGTTCAATGTGAAGAAAATTCGCGAGGGAGACACTCCCGCAGAAATGGAAGAGAAGCCGGCAGAAGCGGCCAGCGGTGAGCAGGCAGCAAACGACGAGGAGACCTCTTTCACCGAAATCCACCCCGATCTGGTCTCTCCCACTTCTCCAGCCGAAGAAGGGAAGGCCTTTGCTGATTCCCTCGAAAAAGAAACCAGGAGTGAAGGAGAAGCAGCAGTGGTCAATAACAACATTGAGCTCGCCATCGTCGAGGAAGATGAAAATTATGGGGCATCCGGGCAGAGAAGAATGGAGTATTACGAAGAAAGAAACGTGCCGGCTGCCAGAGAAACGGAACAATCGGATGAAGAATCGAACCAAGCCGCTGTCCTCCAGTTAGACCAAACAGCGTAGACCATTTGACCCTTCGTTGGCCTTTCTAAATACATATGGTGTATTGTTGGTTTTCTTAGTTACATCAGTAACTAGGGTATACGGTCTGTTACACAAGAAGCATGGAGCAATAGTAATTCGAGGCAGAGGGTTTCGAAAACAAACAAAAAATGTAGATTTCTACACCAGGCTTATTTCTAAAACTCCGACTGAAATCCAAGATGAAAAGGTCTGATGCAAATGTAATGTTAATGCAATTCTGTTGCCCCTATTTTACAGGAAACTTCCACTATTCCATTATGAATTGAAAGTTGCTACACTTAAGGGTAACTGGGGGCACATTTAAAAGAACCCCTGGAGGCATGGGAGGGCGTATCTGCTTTTGAAAAAATTGACCTTGGTTTTGTATCAGTTTAATCGTGCTTGGTGGGCATGCTGGGAATTATCAGAGGTCGCTCAATGCCCTCGATAGAACTTCAGCTCCCAGAGTTCCCTAGGAAAAGGGGGTGGGCTAGCAAACCAGAGTATGGTGTAGATAGGCTTTTTATGTCACGTTTGGGGAAGACGTCTCCAAGCAATGCGCTCATTCAAAGTCCTCATTATTTTTCCCAGGCTGCATCCTTGTGTCGTTGAACGCTGAGCTCCAGAAGTCACTTTCAACTCGATTTTCCTGTGCAGACAAGACAACCCAGGAAGTGACTGATTGCTAGAATACAACGGTAGCCCGTTATGCAGTGCTGTCCAGATGTGGCTTCAGCCATGGTGCTTGGGAAGAGTTTATTTCTGCGGAAAGAGTAAGCCCGTGTTGAATGGGCCACTAATTATATACTGCTCTGCTCGCCAGGGATAGTTGCTGGCCCTGGACCCTAGAAATAATCGGAGGAGGAACGTGACGGATGCTCACTCTGCCGCCTTTGCAGATTGTGTCGATCAGGGGTCCCCAAACATTTTCAGCCTGCGGGCAGTTTTGGAATCCTGACACAGTGTGATGAACACGGCTATAAAATGGCCGCCGCAGGAGGCAAAGCCAGCCACCAAAATGGCTGCCGCAGCTTACTTTCAGCCACACAGTGAAGATAACTTGTGCTGTGGTGGCAGCTGCTGCCAAGGCAACCTTTTGAAAAATCTGCACAGCCCATCAGATCTCCAGTGGCCAATCAGAAGCCCTGCTGGGCAAAAGCCCCACCTGGCCCCGCCTACTTTTTAAAGACTTTCTGAAGGGGGCTGCCGTAGTGCCCCCGGGCTCCGTGTTGGGGACCCCTGCTGTAGATTGTGAACTCTTTGTTTTCCTCTCTGTGCAGGGTTACATGTGCTGTCCATGTCTACAAAACACATTGAGGCCTGATTCCCGATGTTATGCTTTTCACGTAGTAAGTCGCAGTTGGGCCCGGTGACTTTTTTTGCTCCAACCCGGCATCACATGCAGAGAGCTGACCTCGTGCCAGAACGAGTTGCCAAAAACTGGGTCTCGTTCCCCAGGAGACGATTGATAACCTCTTCTGCGAGGACTCGATCACAAAATCTTTGACCACGTGTGGATGTACGATAAAGAGATACCATTCCGGGCAAGAGCTGATATGGTAAAGGCTGCCTTGTGGTGACTTTTACGGCCATAAAAAGAAAATAATATAAACGTTGGGTTTTAGCTGCAGTACTGTTAGTTTGTAACTCCTGAGACAAAAGCCATCTGGTTATTGTCTTGTCAGCTTTGGCAGGGACCATATCAATCATATTTCGGCTTTATAAACAACATTCCTTTGGCAACGTTATTTTAACCCCTGCTTGGCAGTCGCAGATGTTTTGGTGGGAAGAGGGTCCACCCAGAAGCTAACATTACCAGAACGCCTAGATTCAAATCCAGCAGCACCTTAGAGAGCTAGCGTGTAGTGGTTAAGAGCGGTGGATTCTAATATGGAGAACCAGGTTTGATTCCCCATTTCTCCTACACCTAAAGCCTGCTGGGTGACCTTGGGCCAGTCACAGGTATCTCAGGACTTTCTCAGCCCCCTCTGCCTCACAAGGTGCCTGTTGTGGAAGGGGGAAGGCAATTGTAAGCCACTTTAAGACTCAATAACAAAGAGAAAAGAGGGATATAAAAACCAACTTCTTCCAAGAAGATTTGGGGGGGCATGAGTTTTTGAGAGCATGTATCTGACCAAGGGAGCTCTGATTATTGAAACCCCTCATACACTCCAAAATCTGGTTGGTTTCTAAGGTACTACTTGGACTTGAATCTCGCTGTTCTATGGTCAAGCAACACAGCTACCTTCCGAAACTATGCTCATTAGTAGAACTATGTTACTCATGAAATGAGACTGAATTGGGTGGGAATAAGCTGAGAACTAGTTTGGATAACGGGCTTTACAATAAGTCCATTCCCCATGACGAAGAACTAAATGGAAAGCGAGGGGAATGTGAAAGACTGTAAAACACATAGAATTGTCCACAGGATGTCTTTAAAAAGAGAAGAAGAAGAAGAAGAGATTGGATTTATACCCCGCCTTTTACTCAGAGTTTCAGAGCAGCTTACAAACTCCTTTCCATTCCCCTCCCCACAAGAGACGGGTGGGTGAGGTGGGTGGGGCTGAGAGAGCTCTGATAGAAACTGCTCTTTTTCAAGAACAGCTGTGCCAGAACCATGGCTTGCCCAAGGTCATCCAGCAGGTGCAAGTGGAGGAGTGGGGGAATAAAACACGGTTCTCCCAGATTAGAGTCCGTGTACTTAACCACTACGCCAAACACTCACCCACCTTAAAAGCACCTTAAAGAACACAGAGGGGAACGATAGCTTCCTCTACTTACCGAAGGTCCTTAAGAGACCTCTGACTGAGGGAAGGGATACTATGCAGGGAATGTTTATCGCTTGGAAAACTTGTACTTCGACAGCCTTCCCTCATGCTTCTAGTTTCCCTGCAGGAGAATTACAGTGCTATGCTCAAAAGAGTTGCCCCTTTCAAAGCCCATTGACTTCGATGGACTTAAGAAAGATGCCACTCTATTTGGGATCGCACAGGCTGTGTGGATTCAATGCTAGAACCAATGATCAGGAGCTGAGCGAGAAAACGAAGTGATTGTACATATAATGAACTTAGCATACATCTACGACATGCCTGCTCTAGTTTACGCTGCGTTCTTGTGTTCCGAGTATGCTGATTCAATAACGATTGTGTATATATACATGTATATTTTATTTTGGTCTATTTTAAGAGAAAAGCAGATTAAAAAAAAAAAGAAATGCTATTTGCTTAATCAGGTATGTTTAAGTGACAAAAGGGAGAGGTGTAAAGGAGAAGTAGATTATAGACACATATGCGCTAAACTACTGTATTTAAGAGTGAAACATGAACACGAGTTTGGTATGTTTGCAATATAATATATGGTTTAAACTGTTCAACTGCTCAAGATCTATGTATCGCGGAGCTTTTAAGGGATAAAGGAAAGGAAATATGGAATATTCAATGAAAATACAGGAGGGAGTCAGATAGTAAGATTCCACCAAACTAATGAAGACATAGTTCTAAGTGATACAACTCATCTCAAAAGAATCATTTTCATTCCGCACCTAGAAGCAGAGGCTTTTCAGAACATATATCAATATTAGGGATGGGCACAGACCTGAGCCAAAGCCCAGGTTGGACTTTGCCCGGTTTGTGAACCCCAGACTGCAGTTTGAAAAAGGAGCCTTCCCCGACCGAGTGCTCACCGTGGTTCAGTTTAGGTGTTCAGTCCCCAACGTGCCCACGCCACTTCTGGGTAATGTCAGGTGCCGTCCGAGCTCGTCCGCATCATCTGGAAGTGATGCGTCACTTCTGGTTAACATGGGTGCGCTGGGGCGACATTTGACACGACCCAGAAGTGACACGAATGTGTCACTGGGGGACCCAGACCAGTTCAGTTCAGGCAGGGGTTTTGGCTCAGGGGTTCAGTTCAGGGCCACCTGCTTTGCGAGCCCCAAACTGAACCTGGGCTTTCCCAGTCTGTGCCCATCCCTAATCAATATAGTCTTTTGAAGCAGATTGAACAGTAGCTGGCCACAATCCAGCATGGAGTTATGCATGTTTTGACTTCATAGATTTCCATGGTGTTTAAGCATGCGATAGCATGGAGATCACTCCATATCATGAAGGAATCTTGAAAGTCTCTCGCATGGCCCGGTGAATATCCAGCCGTACAACCTTAACAGTAGTTAATGCTGACAATATCTGTCAAGTAGACCAGTGAATTTGAACTGTCTTCATATTTTTGGACACTCATCAGATGCTTAAGTGACTGTCAACATTACTGGTAGTCTTTTAACTGATTTTGAGTCCAGTAGCACTTTACAGACTAACAAGATTTTCCAGGCTGTAAGCTTTTGTGAGTCAAAGTGCCCTTCATCAGACAATTTCAGGTGGGTAGCTGTGTTGGTCGGTCTGCAGTAAGAGAGCAAGATTCGAGTCCAGTAACACCTTAAAGACCAACAAGGATATAAGATTTCAAGAGTCAAACTCCCTTCGTCAGATACAAGTCATCTGACGAAGGGAGCTTTGACTCTCGCAAACGTATACCCTGGAAATCTTGTTGGCCTCTGTGATGCTGCTGGACTTGAATCTTGTTCTTTGTCAGACAAAGTGACCTTGACTCACCCCGGGAAACTTTACTGGCCTTGAAGGTACTTCTAGACTCAAAAGTTTGTTCTACTACTACAGACTAATGCAGCCACCCACCTGAAACTATCTTGTATTTTTGACAGTCTCCACATTTTGAACATCCACTGTAATAGTTAGGATTGATGTTCACATGGAGGGGGGGAAGTATGGACTGTTTTGGAAAAAATGGGAGAATCTTTACCCTTTCAGTTAGTGATGTCAGACAAAGTTATACTGCCTTATATTTGTGTCGTGTGACAAACCAGTTACAAACAGCAGTGAACACAGTTCTGTGCAACATACCAGCTACAAACGGCAGTGAACACAATTCTGTACAACATACCAGTTACAAATAGCAACACAAACAGTTCTGTGCACAGCTTTGACATACCAGTTACAAACAGCAGCAAACGCAATTCTGTGCAACATACCGGGTACAAACAGCAATGAACAGAGTTCTATGCAACATACCAGTTACAAATACCAACACACACAATTCTGTGCAACATACCAGTTACAAATAGCAATGAACACAGTTCTGTGGAACATACCAGTTACAAAGAGCAATAAACTCAACCCACCAGGAACTTGTGTGCAAGCCTAGTGGGAAATCTGTTCAAGCCCAGTTCTAATGCATTTCAGGAGGGCTTTGTACCTGCCTCCATATGGCAATTGTTTCAATTGTCTTTTTCAAACATTGCATTTTGTGTTATGTACTGGACTTCGCAATGATATAGCCTCTGAGTTATTTTGGTTTGCAACCAGCAGTTGGACACAACCAGAAACGAAAATGCATTCCTTTTGCATATTGAATCTTTTTGAATAATCCATTCCACTTAATTATAAATGTAAACCAGCAACGAACCTAGAAGTGCCTGGCAATCTTGTTTTGTTTGTATGTATTCTTTTTTTCTTCTCCTTTTAATGCTGTTAAATCTGCTTTTATATAATATTGCACTAAAGCCTTGTTTTTCCCCTCCCCCAAGATATATTTAGAACCGCAAATTAAGGAAGTCTTGTGAGAAAAGATATCTATGTTGGCAAGCTATGCAACGGGAGCAGCTTCCTGGAATCATTTAAGTGCCGCTGGACGTTTAATCAGTGTTGATTTCTTAAGCCGGACTGTTGATAGTTGATTTTAAAAAAAAACACAATATTATGAGAGAGCTGCAATCAGTAGAAATAATTGTGATATAATCTGCACCGATGCGTCTTACTTTGCATTAATAACACTGTAACGTCGTCTGTTAACTAACTGAACTGAAGGTGTGAGCAAGTCAATAAAAAAAATCAAACTTAACCAAGTTACTTTTGTCTGGGCAAAGTCTTTGTAGAATTCACAGAAAACCATTCTGATTTAATACGC